GACCTCTAAATCGTTTGCGAATCTATCATGGCTGCCCAATTGAAATATCTTGTCACTCCAGTTAAGCTTCTTGACATAGTAGCTTGATCCAGACGGCATGATGGCTTTGTAGTAAGTTGAAAACCTAGTCTTCAGTACAATGTTTGACTGGTCAGAAACTGCTTCCATTGCTTTAGTGAAATCGATATTTGATCTGTGAATACCATTTGCAGTTAAGAGATTGCCTTGGAGGACCTCAGGAACAGGAAGATCTTCCTCTGATTGTGGTTGTTCATCATTAACCCTGATTGTGGTTTGTCGTGATAGTGATATAGCAATGATGGTGATCCCTCCAACAGCAAAAACAGCTGCTACAACTGCGAGAACAATTGTCAGTGCAATTGGTTTTCCCTTCTTTTTCGATTCCGGTGACGTGCTTGGTGGTGTCGTAGAGTTAGTCAAACCCTCATTTCCACTTGCGTTGACGAAGACCCAAGAACCAAGTTTTGGAATTTTTCCAGAGAGCTGATTGTTGGAAAGTATCAACTGCGTCAAGGCTCCCAACTGCCCAAAAAATGTGGGTATCTCACCTGAGAATTTGTTATTTGAGAGATCCAGAATTTCTAATCCCGTGAGCTTGGCAAGAGTTTCCGGAATATGTCCTTCAAAAAGATTGCTGCTGAGATTCAAAGCAATCTGCAAAGTAATTGGCATGCTTGGAATGTCACCACTCAAGTGATTTTGTCCAAGTTGGAGTTCCATCAGAGAAGTCATGGAGACAATATTTTTCGGTATCGAACCCCTGAGATTGTTGCCTTGTAAATTCATGTTAATGAGATTGTTCAAGCTTGCAACCGAAGGTGGTATTGAACCATTCAGAGAATTCCAGCTGATATTTAGAATCGACAACTTCGACAATTGAGTAATTTGAATTGGGATTTCACCAGACAAGTTGTTAAATTGAAGTTTCAAGACTTGAAGATGGCTAAGGTTACCCAACTCCACTGGCAAAGCCCCAGACAGCTGATTCTGAGCCAAATTCAACAGTGCCAAACTCTGGCAAGAACCCAATTCAGGAGGAATCCTTCCACTCAAGCTATTGTTTTCCATCTCCAAGTATGTCAAGTTTTGGTACCTTGCAATTGTTGCAGAAGGGATCGTCCCATTAAGTGAATTGCTTCCCAATCTCAGTCTGACCAAGCTCTTAGATAGAGCTGCTGCCGGTATCGATCCCTCTAACCTATTATTAGACAAATCCACAGTCTGCAGATTCGTTGGAGACAAAAGGTCCGATGGAATCAACCCACTTAAGGTATTATAGCTTAGGTCCAAATTTCTCAGATGATTTGTAATCCCCGCAGGAATTGGACCGTTGAATTTGTTAGAATTTGCAGCAAAACGGGTAAGGCTTGTGATATTGGAAAGGCTTTGTGGGATTTCTCCAGATAAATTATTGGACGACAGAATCAAAACCTCCAACTTGGAGAGCTCTCCAATTCTAACAGGAATAGACCCAGAAATATTATTTACACTAAAATCAATCAGAGTCAAATTGCGGTAGCCCACAACTTCAGCAGGGATTATACCATGAAACATATTCATAGAAAGCTTAAGCTCCTTCAAAACCTTGGATTTTCCAAGACGGGTAGGAACAGAGCCAGTGAAATGGTTCAAGCTAAGGTTCAAGCTTTTGAGCCCAACTAACCCATCTAACTCTAAATCAATGGCTCCAGTCAAGTTATTATGAGACAGGTCTAAGAACTCCAACCCAGCAAAACCAACAAATACAGGCAAAGAACCCTCCAAATTGTTATAGCTAAAATTGAGTAGCCTTAGCCCATGAAGTTTTCCACAATCTGAGAGAAACCCAGATGGGATTTTTCTCAGATGGTTGTCTGAAACATCAAGAATCTGCAAGGACTCAATCTGGCAAACAAGGGGCAGAAAATCTGAGGAAGATAGAGGAACATCAGATAAGGAAATTTGGGTAACAGATGAATTGGAGGGGGGCTGGCAGGTAACTCCTTTCCACAAACATGGGTTTGGCTCTTTGTTGATATCCCATGAAATACTAGCGACATTTAGACTCTTGGAGAGATTGATCATAGTGGTTTTTTGGTTTGAGGATAGTTCAGAAAACACCATAGGGCAGAAAAACAAGGAAAAGAAGAAATAGAAATAGGAGAGAAGCGAGGTGGTGCTGCCATACCTGGTCATTTCAGCTGTGTGCCAAAGTAAAGAATGTGTCTTTATCTTGCACGTCAATTTTCTATTACCAAAGAAGGCATGTGAGTTAGATTTTGTATATAATTTATGTGATTTCAGGGGGAGGAGGAGACAGAAGAAAGAAGGTGGCCAGAGAGCATAGAATGAGAGAAGAGGGCTTAAAATATAGAAGGATTTAAGGAAAAAGAGAATGACACAGAGATGTTTGTGTCGTGTGGCTTTTGGGGAAATGGAAATTTGTGGGAATGGGAAAGAGAAGAAAATGTTGGGAGTGGAGTTGACTGGACTGCTGGGTCTCAACAAAGACTAAGACTTCGAGACTCAGACTTAAAAATGAGTGGCCAGTGTGGAGCCCATGATTGACTACTAAGCTTGTTCAAAAACGCGTAAAATGGAAAAGAACAAAAAAGAGAAACAAAAAAAACGAAGACTAGAAAATTGTGAACCCACCAGAGACAGGGGAGGGAGTTTATCTTTTTAATTTTAAATTTTTTGTGCAGTTTCCACTAAAAATCGTTTGTTTGTGGAAAATTTTTTACTCTCATGAGAGAAGACAAGTGCCCCATTGAATGATCTGATCATGCCGTGAATGATCCGTTGGTCTTTGTTTGAACCGGGTTTGTTTGTGTGCACAAGAAAAAGACTGACTTCCATCTGCCCTTTTTTCCACGTTCAACAATACTAGGTGCTAATGACTTTCCTTGCTGATTGTATTGGTTGTGTTTTTTTTTCCACAAGTGGTCCAATGTCACGCTGATTGTATTGATTGTTTTTTTCCCACAAGTGGTCTAATGTCACGCTCGTGGGTTAGGACAGTGTGCTCGTAGTCGTATCCTTATAGCCAAATTTGAATTCTCTTCTTCATACATTAGATTAGTTTAGAGTAATTTAGATTATATTTATATATAAAAAATTGTCTAATGTCCACCATTGTGATTCTAACAAAATTCTCGGTCCTAAAATCAAACGTCAACTTCTTTACGTGAAAGAGAAAATGAACCTTTTTTAGGGTTTGATGTAAAAACTAGGGCGGCTTGGGTTATTGGTGCGGTAAGCAACTATAGAAATTGCAAGATATAATATCGCTTGACCCTGTCTAGTTGCAAGAGATCTTTTTTCCTTCACTAACGACTGAGTGCGCAATTCACTTTCTAATCTGTAAAGTCAATCATTTGACTAAGAATCATAATGGGAGACAATTCGTTTAATATATATATATATATATATATATATTTTTTAATAAATGAATTAAATGGCTAAACATTATTGTGGTTATATAATTTATAAATAAGGTTCATGGGCGGCAATGAAGAATAACACTAATATATGATCAATTTGACCCAAAAAAACACACACACTAATATATGATCCCAGAGAATGTGAAGACATTCCTAATATATAGTGGAACCACTCAATATATAGTGTATTTTATTTAGCCATGGTTCTGATGTGGGACTTTATATTCTTCAACAATATCGACCAAACATTCATACTTCCATTATATACACAAACATACATGAAGACTAGCATTGTTCAATTGGGACAATTACGAGTCTTGAGATCATTTTTGAAAACACTAAGACAAGTGCACGAGTGCTCAAAATGCAGGAGTTCACCGAAGAAGATATGCTGACATAGTTTTTTTTTTGTGCATAAATCTATGATATACGTGTCAAATAAGAGATTATATGTTACAACAATACAGTTAATCCTTAGACTCGAGATATTATGTATGCCTTATGTGTTTGCTATAGTAGCCTATGAATATTTTGATTATTTGGTTTGATGAGTGACGTATGGAGGCACATGAGTGATCAATGGAGAATCAATTTATGTATATGAAAATGTCGTAGATGGCCCTTAGTGTGTTCGTTACAAATGTTGTTTTGGGAAAAAGTTCATCTTCTTAAAATGAAAAATTGATTTTCAAACAAGAAGAATCTTGTATGATGGTCTAAATCACACATGTTGTTTATCTAAGATCTTCTTAGGCTTAGCTATATATTTTATCTCAATTGATATCATCAATCTCTAGTCTATAGCTTGATGAAGTTGATGTGAGCTTTGCATCCAGCTGAAAATATGCATTTCTATGGAATTGGTAGTCAAACAAAGTAGGGCAAATATTCAACTATGTATTCTTCCCTAATATGGAGTTATTTATGAGAAAGCACAACCCTAAATAAAATAGGAAAGAAATCTAAACAATAACGCTACGGGCACCAACTTATTTACCAACTTTTGGATACCAACACATGTGGCACATGATATGGCAACACATGTCATCTGCCATCTCATCTATTTTAATCACATAATTTGTTATATAAATAAAAGAATTTCACACAGCAAAAATAAAAACAGAAATAAAATAAATTAAAAAAATAAACCCAGCCATTTAATATTTATCGTCCTTCCGTCTTCCTCCTTCGCAAACCCCCCCTCCTCTTCTGTGAAAAACCCTAGAATTTCAACAGTTGGCAGCCACCAATTGAAACTTCTCAAATTCAAAGCACCGAGCCTTTGTGGTTTAGCGTTAAACCACCTTCTTCCTCTCTGAAAAACCGTAGAAATTTAGCAAAAGAATCGAAGCTGTCATCGCACCATTCTACACAACCACGATAACGTCGTCCTCTTCTGTGAAAAACCCTAGAATTTCATTTTCCAGAAAAACACACAAAAACTCAATCTGATTTCTATTATTATTTTGCTCAACAAATTCTCTCCTTCTATTATTATTTTGCTCAACAAATTCTCTCCTTCTAGTAAGTCTCAAATGCTGAATAATAATTAATACTCTTTTTGCAGGACAACACCTTCTCTTGGAAAGCTTTTCATTTGCAAGGTTCCTTTACGTGTCATTTCCAAGGTAGGGTTTACCATTGTTCATAGACATTTGCAAGGGGAGATGGAAAGGTTCACCTGGAGTATCTGGATTGACACATTCCTCTATTGTTGTTTATTTGGTGCTCTTTTGACTTTCAGAGGTGTTTTCATATTTGTGAATTCAGTAAATGCATGCGTACATATATTGAAAGTATTCCACATGATTTCTTCTCGAAGAATTATCGCGATAATATTTTCTTTTCAGATTTCCTGATGATTGCAACACCTTCTAATTTCTTTTTCTTTGCATTTAGAAGTATCTTGCTGAGCTGAGGTATGGAAACAGAAAGTACTTTGGTTAACATCCATATTGAATAGCGGTGAGAAGAAACAGGATTTCAAAATCGGATGCTGAACCTGAACACATAATGTATCAGAAAACACATGAAGGTAAAGCTCTGTGCATGATCTTTTCTTTGCCTTTAATTTCTGGAGGGGTCTTAAATTTTGCCATTAGCAATTGGAATAATGGTTGTCATTTACCGACAATTTAAAGTTGGGGACCTCTAATCACTTGGGATAACCTTTGGCCATGCCATTCTTTGATTCTGTCTTGTTTTATGGGCAGGTATCAATGTTGGGGACCTCTAATCACTTAGCTTGCATGTCTCAGACGCTGAATTTGAAGTTCATCGACAATTTCTCAGAAGCTTATGAGAGTTCTTTTTATTTGCAAGGTTTCTTTACATGAGCTTATTTGCAAGGTTTCACCCACACAATTTGAAGTTCACCGACAATACAAACTTGATTAACAAAATGGAGTATTAGAACTCATGGAACTTTTATTGTTTTGATTAGTTATGAAGTTTGTCCCACTACGAAAACAACTATAAGTACATAACTAGAATTCTTAGATTTATAATCGCAATTCTGTAGTGGGTGCATTTTCGTCAGTCATTAGGATGACCATATCTGTAGTCGCTACATTCTCCACTCCCGGAAGTTGTTGAAATGCATCCACACGCGCTTGGTGTTGGAAAAAAATGGCTCACCTAAAAGGATACAAAGTTTTTGGCGCTCAAAGGATGATTTTGAATCTGCCTAAAAGCGACCGGTCGCTGGACATTTGCGACCGGTCGTTTTGAAGCAGATTCGAAGTCTCGTAAGTAATCGACGAGCGACCGGTCGCTAGTTCTTTGTGACCGGTCGCAGGCACACGAGCGACCGGTCGCTGGACATTTGCGACCGGTCGCTTAGAAGCAGATTCAAAGTCTGGAGGGAAAACTTCTGGCGACCGGTCGCCCATTCCTGACGACCGGTCGCTCCAGTCGTGCTGTGATGCTTTGCTTACGTATTTTCAACTGTCTTTTCAATGGCTATCGCTTTCCACGAGTTTGCAGGTGCTTAATGGATCACTTCTGAGGTAAAAGAGGGTTGACTACCTGCTGGATAGTTGGGAGAGCACTCATGGCTAATTGGTTATCTTGTTTTGAATAATCTCCTCTCCATTTTCTGGTTTAATGGAGGTGGCTGAGTGAGATTGTATTACCTACCTGATCTGACCCTTAGTCTAAGTGGTGACTAAAAGGAAAGAACGTGGAGGACAATCAGATATCCTATCTCTTGTCCATTGGCTTGTGTAGGTAATGGGATGAAGTAAGATAACACAAGGGAGAAAGAATGTTGAACTAATGTAGTGGCAAAAGCTGGAAACAAGTTAGAGTTTTTTTAGAGAGCTTTGTTCAGAAAAACCAAGGTGAGAGCAAGAGAGTTCTCTAAGTGTATCAAGGTGTTGAGCAAAGGTGTGAGAGAAACAGATTGTGAGGGTAGTGTTCTAAGGGGGTTTCCTTTGTAAACCAAAGTTGTAACCTATCTTCATTAGTGAAATTTCTCAAGGTGATCACCAAAGAGGATGTAGGCAATTTGCTGAACCTCTATAAACACTTGTGTCATTTGTGCTTGGTTAATTTCTGTGTGTGTGTGTAAGACTCATCCATCATTGAGTTCTTTGTCCAAAGTCCATCAACAACAAGATCTTAAAAGGGCAGTGAGTTAGTCATTAATTCACAACACTTGGTACCTCGAGTACAAATGTGTTACATTGCATATGTCACTTTGTTCATGCCACATTCTAGAAACTGGTGGAATAGGATGATCTGGAGACAAATGAACCTACAAACAAGAATTCATTCAAATAAGCATTGCATATAAAATTAAACTATGTAGCGTAAACAAATAAATTCATACCTGGACATAGTGATCATCGTCAACAAAACCAATAGCAATCTCACGTAGCTTGGTTTCGCTTGATTGAACTGAGAAAGGAAGAAATGTAAGGCATTGACGCATGCTTAGAAGAATTAAAACCACATCATAACATGTGGCAATAATATGCCCCATATCAGGCATGGTCATCCAAGAAAAGAATGGTGCAAATCCATCATCAAAATAATTTAGCGCTCGCTCAATCTCGTAGTACCGTTTATGTTCCCGAATACACTTCTTAAAAATAGAAGACATATCTTGTAGTTGCTGCAACAAATCCTTGCGTACCCTACGCCATTCATTATGACCAAATCTCATTGCCATAGCTATGGTTCTATATCCACAGTTACCATCCGGAAGAACTTCAGTCTGGTGAGTGATATATTTCCTAATACCCTCAGGGAATTTCTCTATATGCATATATGTATCGAACGATGTATCAAAAGCATTGCCCAAACCTTTTGTTCTCCCAAAATCCTTCAGCATGTAAATATGAATTATTAATAGGAAAAAAAAAACTTAACGAATTTAACAATAACAATATATCTACTAACCTTTTCCAGTTTTTTCTCATTAGACTTCATTTGTATATTCTTTGCTTTTCTTTTTTGAATAACTTTCTCAACTTTTGACTGTAACCGTTTTGATGGGGGACGACCTTTACCTCGGACAACTCGTGGACTAAGAATTTTGCAACCCCCATTTGAAGTATCCTCAAACTTGTCAACTTGTGTAGCCCCATCAATCACATTGGTCTCATGTTGATTACTTTCACTGACAACTTCATTCGATGTTAGCTTCAATTTCAAATCATTTACCAACCCCATCACCATATTACATTTTTCATCACTCTTTGTTGCCATGTCTGCTACCTCATAAAATAAGTTACACATCTTCTCAAAGCGATGTGCTTCAGGTTTGGAACTCCAATCAGCATAACTCACTTTCACTTTTGTATGACATCTTTTTACATCCTTTCTCCATCGCCTGAAAATATACTTTTCAGAAATACGAAAAATTTGCTTTTCAATCAGTACCAAAATTATATGCCGACATAATATTCCCCTAAACTCAAATAGTCGACAATTGCATTTCACCTCATTTGCTTCCTCATTCAAGATTACCTTGAAAATAACACGTTTACTACATTCCCAAACTTTGACATCTTCATATACTAGAAATTCTGCAAGGGCAATATTTTCCTTAACTGATGATAATCCACAATATATTTTACCTGCGAACTCATCCATGAACTCTTTGAATTTGTCAATCGTAAAAGCATCTTGGAATTGCTTTTCAAATTCATAGCGATTCTTGCAAGGAACCCGTGAATTAAAACAAGCAAAATCTGCTAGCTTCTCCTTTTCCACCTTATTATGCAAAGCATTCTCATATTGTTCAACAAATTGCTTCAAAGTTGTCTTTGAATTAACATACCCATCAAAGAATGCATGCATGCTCTCACTACGCTGTGTAGTAGACATTCCTGCCCAAAACGAATCCTTCACAAAAGCTGGAACCCATCGTCGTCTCTCATTATACAATCCATCTAACCATTCATTTTGTTGAAGGTTATATGTTTTAGTGAATCTATTCCAACTTTCTTCGAATTCCTCACATGTTAACGAATCATAAACGATACTTTTGAAGGAAGACTTGATAGGCTCGTATTGTGTGTAGCTTTTGAACTTCTCAGGTATGTTTTTCATTATATGCCATAAGCACCACCTATGTCGTGTATTAGGGAAAACAATCTCGATTGCATTTTGCATAGCTCTATCTTGATCTGTTATTATTCCATTGGGAGCACATCCAGACATACTTGTAAGCCAAGATTGAAATAACCATGTAAATGTTGGAGTATCCTCATTAGAGATTAATGCACATCCTAGCAATGTCGAATGCCCATGATGATTCACCCCTACAAACGGTGCAAATGGCATGTCATACTTATTTGTTAAATATGTAGTGTCAAATGTCACAACATCACCAAACTCCCTATATGCAGCTCTACTTCTTGCATCTACCCAGAACACATTCTTTAATCGACCATCTTGGTCCAAATCCATAATATAAAAGAAATTTGAGTCACTACTTTGCATCTTCATGAAATATTGTTGGATTGCAGTAGCATCACCCTCTCCAAGCCGTAATTGCCTCATTTTTTGAATATAATTTCTACAATCTTTCTCCAGAAAGGGTAATTTGTCATAGCCACCTGCCTCAAAAACAAAAGAATTATAATTTTTATTCGGTCTTATCCCAGCTCGATCATTCACTTCTATCTTTCTTTTCATATATGGCTTGATTGTTCTGCTACTTCTAAAAAACCGAGTTTTACTTGGAGTACTGAGCTCATGATTATGCTCAAGCACAAAAGAGCACACCTTCCACTTTCCATCAAGGCATATACATGCTCTAACTCTAGCCTGACAATCTGTTTTTGTTATTGGATGCAACTTAAGGGAGTTCCTTGAATTACACTTTGACTTTCCGGAACGTGAACATGCCAAAGTCAAATATTTCAGTTCCCCACCATCTCCCTTACTTGAGGTTCTTATAGTAACTTCAAACCCCTTTTCTTTCCCGTAATTTTTGTAATATTCAACTAGCTCTTCCAATGAATCAAATATTGCTCCAACCTCTGGGTCCTTCACTTTATTTTTCATATTTGTTGGATCTTCCATTTCATTCACAGCACTTGAATACTCTTTCAAATTAGCTGCATCTTCCATTTCATTGAGTTCATTTGAGTTCTCTTCCAAAAATTTTGTATCTTCTATTTCGTTGAGCTCACTTGAATTATCTTCTAAAGATGTTATTCATATTTTTTTCCTAGTAAGTGTTGCCAAATAACTCAAATTAGAACCCTTACAAACTAAATGTACAAAAAAAGAAAAAAAAAGAAAAGAAAAAAGAATAACTCATATAAAAAACAAACATTAAGATTACGCATTTGTAAATAAAGAGTGGAAAAAAAAAAACATTAACTCGCCAACAATATTTCACTAGCATGGACCTGTAGCATAGCACAGGACATATTATCAAATCATCAAGATTTAGGAGTATTTATGTCATTATGAATAAGCTTATGCAATCATTCGTAAGGGTCCAACAAGAAAAACCATGCCATTGCTGGTCCAACAAGAAAAACGCATGTGATTGCTGCAACTAATTAAGCTTAATGCTATGGTAGAACGTATCTGCATATATTCATGTCTATTTGTATATGAATCACTGTCTATTATATGCTCAAGTACGTACCTATCGACGACGTTATCGTGGTTGTGTAGAATGGTGCGATTACAGCTTCGATTCTTCAATAGGACTGCTAAATTTCTACGGTTTTTCAGAGAGGAAGAAGGAGGTTTAACGCTGAACCACAAAGGCTCGGTGCTTTGAATTTGAGAAGTTTCAACTGGTGGCGGCCAACTGTTGAAATTCTAGGGTTTTTCACAGAAGAGGAGGGGGGGTTTGCGAAGGAGGAAGACGGAAGGACGATAAATATTAAATGGCTGGGTTTATTTTTTTAATTTATTTTATTTCTGTTTTTATTTTTGCTGTGTGAAATTCTTTTATTTATATAACAAATTATGTGACTTAAAATAGAGGAGGGGGGGGGGGGTTTGCGAAGGAGGAAGACGGAAGGACGATAAATATTAAATGGCTGGGTTTATTTTTTTAATTTATTTTATTTCTGTTTTTATTTTTGCTGTGTGAAATTCTTTTATTTATATAACAAATTATGTGATTAAAATAGATGAGATGGCAGATGACATGTGTTGCCATATCATGTGCCACATGTGTTGGTATCCAAAAGTTGGTAAATAAGTTGGTGCCCGTAGCGTTATTGAAATCTAAATTACAATAGAAAATACATCTAAATTACAATGGGAAATAAATCTCAATTATAATAGGACTAGACAAATAATAAATTACCAAAAATCCTAACATAATAAAGAACCAAAATCCTAACTAAGTAAGGACTCGCTAACACCCCCCTCAAGTTGGTACAAAGATGTTTCACATGCCCAACTTGACAAGCAAGTCATAGAAAACTATACTCGACATTAACCAAATTGAACAACTATAAAGAAGGTCACAATTGTAGAGGTCTTGTCATAAACCATTAGTGAAACAACTGACAAACCAAATCAAAGCTCACAGCAATGTTCCATAGTGCGCAACATCCAACTTTTCACAGTAGCATCGTCAATTTTCTACTTTCCAAATTGTGGATATTTGGAATCTGGGGCATCAGAGTCACCGATTAGGTAACCCAATTTTCCTTGTGAAGTAGCATAGTGTAGGGGCTTTTTCGTTCTAGCAGCTTGACGAATGGGCTTGGGCTGCTGTAAAGAGCAAATGGCTGGAATTGCCCCTTGTGTCTGAGTTCGAGAATCAAACCCCAAGTGTGCTTCGAAAGGGTAGCGTAGCCTTAGGAAACACCCTAGTTATCTTCACCAACAAAAAAGACCAATTGCTTGCAGATAAATATTTAGGCAAGGCATGAGAAGCTTGTGGCATGGGAGCTGAGCATTTGTGAGTTTAGCATGAGAGAGAGAAGGCTTGGGTTTCCTATGAGAAACATAGGCTCGAAGTAAGGGGAAGAGAGAGTTTTTGGGAGGATTTGTCAAGTACTGGAACAGTTCTGCCAAGAGGGAAAATGGGGAAGAATGATGAATAGTGCACAAAATTGCTAGGTTTTGAAGATGAGAGTGAAGCTTGCTCTCTGGATATGTGTTATGAGAGAGAGAAAGTGAGGAAGAAGATGAAAGCATGGGTGGCTTTAGCATATTTCCAGCAGCTTGACGAAAGCTTCGTCAAGCTCCTGGGCGATTTGACAGAAGAGAAAATGGGAAGCAATGGAAGAACAAGGCTTGAAATCGGAGGGTTCCAGAGATGAGAGATGATGCTTGCTCTCTCTGGATGTGGGTTTTGAGCGAGAGAAAGGAGGAAGATGGAAGAACAAAGCATGAAATTGAAGGATTCCAGAGGGGATGCTTGCCTTCGATCGCTTTTGTTGTGTGTTTTGCTGGGAAGAAAGTGGCTCCTTTTATAGGCGTTAAAAACCTTAATTTTGTCAAGCCACCCTCTCCCCTTTTCCTCACTTTCTTCCATTTACTCTTGTTTGGTGAAATTTCCTTAGCCTGAACCCATAGGCACGCAGCTTTTTGGGGTTCTAAGGTCCTCAGGCAGCTGGGCTTCTCCATGTGGGTGAGGAGCCGCCCACTTTTGTTTCTTGTTTTCTCACCAAAGCTTGAAGAGGAAAGAATGGGTAAGGGTGCTTGGTCAAAAAGGTGATCAGCACATGGGTTTGCTTGGTTTTGGTGGTTTGGTTGTGATATAGTTTTAACAGAGATGCATGACGTTGGATATTTTATAAGGTGCTGGGCTAGGCTGTTTTGTTTCCAGCGGCTTGTGAGTTCCCTTTGATTTCGTCAGACTGCTGGAAGCTTTGGCTAATGTGGGATTTTCTCACGTGTTATGGGCTATTAGGTTTTCTTAAGGTGATGGGCTACTAGGTTTTTTTTTCATGCTTACCCATATGTTTGGGCTCAAGGAATGGGCTTGAGTTTTGGTGCTCCCAAGTAGCCCAAAACTTCCACTCCTTGGACCATCAATGAGCCTTGTGAATACTGTTGCGTAGATACAGCTGCACCAAAATGGATTCAGTTGCATCCTCAACTTGTGATACTCGCAAGTGCACGAGCCGTTCGGTAGTATAGCGTATGTAAGTGCGAGGTCGATCCCACGAGGATTGGTGATTGAAT